AGGAGAAGGGGGGGGAGGAGGGAAAGAGGAGGATAGAGGGTGAGGAGGGGAGGAGGAGGAGGAGGAGGAGGAGGAGGAGGAGGAGGAGGAGGAGGAGGAGGAGGAGGAGGGGGATGGGGAGGAGGAGGCGGCGGAGGCGGAGGCGGATGAACCGGATGAGGCTGAGGAGGCTGAGGAGGAGGAGGAAGAGGAGGACGAATAAGAGTACCAAGACAAAGAACATAACGGAGGATACTAATATATTTAATAAGAAAGGTATTCATAATAGTGTTCAGGCCGATGATAATATTATGACGAGGGCGAATACTAATAACCAGACTAATATTAGTAACCATACTGATAATAAGAAAGAGACTACTACTAATAATACGAAGAAGAAGCGTACAACGAAGAAGAAGAAGGCGGAGGCGCACACCACGAGTACTACTAACACCCATACGAAGACGAAGACGAGTCCGAGGACAACTGATAATAGTAATAATACGCAAACGAATAAGAATAACAAGCCGAAGGCGAATCATACTGATACGAAGAAGGCGAGAACTACTCATCATGATGCTAATCAGACATCGTACTATTAATACTACCAATCATAATAATACACATAAGAAGTATATGGCGAATAATGCTAGTACGAATCAGAAGAGTCATAATACTATCACGAAGAAAACAACGACTACTAATACAAGGAATAATGCTACGGTGGAGAAGAAACATGCGAACAGCATTACTACTACTCAGAATAAGATGAATACTACCAAGACAAGCACTACGCATTATAATATTACGACGAACAATAAGTCTATTCATAGTAAAATAAGGAGAATACTACTACTACTAATACTACGTATAATTGAGTGATACTTATATCAATGATGCTAATCGTATTAATAAGACGACTAATAAACTACAAAACATACTAATAGTAACACTCGTAGTAACAATACTACTTACAATAACATTAGGGAACACAATAAGAGGAGGAGGAGGAGGTGAAGGAGAATAAGGAGGGAGGACGAGGACGAGGACGAGAAGGAGGTGGAGGAGGATGATGAGGAGAAGGAGGAGGAGGAGGAGGAACGACGAGGACGATGAGAAGAGGACGAGGACGAGGAGGAGGAGGGGGACGAGGAGGAGGAGGAGGAGGAGGAGGAGAGAATGCTGCTGCTGCCGATGATGATGATGCTGATGATGATGATGATGGTGATGGTGACGATGATGAAGCTGCTGCTGCTGATGATGATGCCGATGACGATGCCGAGGATGATGATACTGCTGATGATGAAGATGATGATGCTGATGATGATTATGATGATGCTGATGGCGAGGATGATGCTGATGATGATGAATATGATGATGCTGATGATGATGATGCTGCTGCTGATGATGAGGATGAGGATGATGATGATATCGATGATGACGATGATGGTGGTGATGATGATGATGCTGATGATGATGATGATGGTGATGATGCTGATGATGATGACGATGATGATGCTGCTGATGATGATGATGACGATGATGATGATGATGCTGATGACGCTGAAACAGTTGATGCTGCTGTTGTTGTTGATGATGATGAAGATGATGATGATGATGATGATGATGATGATGATGATGATGATGATGATGATGATGATGATGATGATGATGATGATGATGATGATGATGATGATGATGACGGAGAGGATGAGGAGGATGAGGAGGGGGGATGACGATGGGGGAGGTGAGGAAGGATTGGGAACGGGGGAGGTCAGAGAGGAGGAGGAGGAGGAGGAGGAGGAGAAGGAGGAGAAGAGGAAGAGGAGGAGGAGGAGCAGGAGGAGGAGGAGGAGGAGGAGGAGGAGGAGGAGGAGGAGGAGGAGGAGGAGGAGGGAGGAGGAGGAGGAGGAGGAGGAGGAGAAGGAGGAGGAGGAGGACGAGGAGGATGAGGAGGAGAAGGAGGAGTAGGAGAGGAGGAGGAGGAGGAGGAGGAGGAGGAGGAGGAGGAGGAGGACAAGGAGGAGGAGGAGGAGGAGGACAAGGAGGAGGAGGAGGAGGAGGAGGAGGAGGAGGAGGAATAGAGGAGGAGGATGAGTAGGAGGAGGGAGGAGAAGGAGGAGAGAGGAGGAGGGAGGAGGATGAGGACGACGAGGTCGTCGTCGTCGTCCTCCTCCTCTTCCTCCTCTTCCTCCTCTTCCTCCTCTTCTTCCTCCATCCTCCCTAGGCTGGGCCTCGAGCTGAGCGAGACCGCCCTGGGGCACTCGCGGGTGCAGGACTTGCTGCAGGACGAGCGCCTCCACGGCATCTGCGAGGTGAGGCGCCAGGGCGTCAACAACAATTACGTCGTGGTGAGGCAGAGCGCCGAGGCCCCCCTCTTGTCGTGTTCTCCCTCCTCCCTCCTCCTTCTCCTCCTCCTCCTCCTCCTCGTCCTCCTCCTCCTCCTCATTCTCCTCCTTCTCCTCGCGAGCGGAATGACCCGTTCGATGTAGTCAGCAGTCAGCAACCTCCTCCTTCTCCTCCTCCTCCTCCTCCTCCTTCTCCTCCTTCCGTAGCCATTTTGGCTCAAGGTACCCATGTCGCCCAGCGGCTGCATGGATACCGCTGGTCCGCGGCTAGACCACTGTGATTTTTCGTGCCTTCACGGGGGGAGCTGGGCGCCCTCACACAGTTCCCGAGAAGTTTTGGGCGCTCTGCCCCTCCATTCGACACCATTCCTCCAGCCAGACGGCCCGCTCTTGGCGGGCGCGCCGCCCTGCTACTGCTGACTGTGCGAACATGGGGGATCAGACTCAACGGCGATCCCGATCTGGGCCCCGCAGTCCATCCAGGCAAGCACAGCGAGATCCCATGGTGGAGAGTGATCCCTGGCGAGCTGCCCGAGCTCCTCCCACTGGTGCCACACCGGGTCCATCTGGGACGCAGCCCAGCGCCGCCGCAGGGAGCCGACATGATCTGGAAGCAGTCGAGTTACGCATCCAGCGCACTCTTCAGAACCAGATGGCAGATGTCACCAAGACCCTGCAGAACACAGTCGCCAACAGCTTCCAGGACATCACCAAAGAGCTGGAGAGGCAGCTGGCGCCGCATGTGCAGAAGATTGAAGAGCACACGCAGGATATCGCCAAGATCAAGGCCTCCTCCGCGCTCCTCGAGCAGTCGAACAAGCAGATGGCAGACCAGATCCGCGAGTTGCAGACCACACTGGCCCACGTGGACTCCTTGGGTCGTAGCGACGGTCCATACATGCTGCGCCTCGCAGACTGGGACCGCCCCGCGGACCCACAGCTGTTTGTTGCCAACTGCCACAAGCCGTGCGCACCAGCCGCCATCCTCGACAGCTTGGCCCAGTGGCTGGAGGCGGCCAAGACCACGAAGGCACAGATCACCATCAACGAGAAGGAGCCCTCCAAGCGCTTCCACATCTACGTACCAGGCGCTGCAGATGGCCGCGCGCGTGCCCTTCACCTCACCAAACACCTCAGATGTGAATCTGGACGGTGGCGTGACTTCTCTGTCCGTACAGTGGAAGGCAACGACGAGAAGCTCTACATCAACCCTGACAAGAACCCTCGGGCCATACGTCAAGAACTGCAAACAAAAAAGCTGCTGTCTATCTGCAAAGAAACACTCCCTGGTGACTGGTGGATGCAACGCAGCGCTGGCATCATTCACTTCGGCACCACACCGATCGCAGAGGTCAAACCACAGCGCCCTGATGAACCGCCCCAGCTGTCGTGGAGCCCTGCGGCAAATAATGACCTGCAGCTCGACACCACGGCCATATCGAATCAGTTCAAGGCGCTCTTCCGTGCGGTGGATACGTCATCATGGTCGTCTTCCTAGCCCGAGATGGATACCATGGCTGCGCCCAGACGACAGCTACCCGTGTCGAATTGTATCGTGGGGTGCCCGAGGCCTTCTATGCCGCAATCTAGGCAAACGCAACATTAAGTTCCAGAAGCTATGTGAATTCATGAAGCAGAAGGCTGTCATCGTATTGCAAGAAGTACATGGTCATGGCATGACTCTTCAGAATCTTATCAATCGTTCTCCATACAATTACAGGGCCTACTTTACTGGCACAGAAGTGACTGGAGCTGGTGGAGTTGCTACCCTTCTTCCCATACCTCCTGATGACGGCCTCCCTCCTGAAGCGCTACCAGTGGTGGTCCATCGAGTCCTCGCCAAAGGTCGCGCCCAGCTCCTCGCAGTCAAGAACCTGGTGCAGAAAACGGAAGTCCGCATCTGTAATATTCATAACTATGACCTCAGCCAGCAAGATAAGTGTCAGATTCGGGCATGCTGGATTGAAAATGGCAAGTGGGCTCACGCGAACCCCTCCCGCAACCTCTTTGTGATGCTGGGGGACCTCAATTTCAGTGGTGATCCCAATGAGAGCCTACTCCGCCCACTAGCGCGTGATGCACCACGAGATCATGGTCAGCTTTTTCGACACTCTGATGCTGGACGTGCCAGCCATTCTGAGCCCTTCTGGCGACAGCTCATCAACTCCTCGGACAAGATGACAGAGGTCGTGACCCCAGTCCCCACGCACTTTGACAAGCACACCAACCAGATGACATATATTGATAGGATCTTTCTGTCGACTCCGCCACACTTCGCCAAAGAGATGCAGATCGTAGTGAACATCCGATATGACGCACAGGAGCTGGCTCTCTGGAAGGTGAGCGACCAGGCCATCATCGAACTCAAGATTGAGCCGCGCAGGGGGACCGACAAGGACAACCAGAGCATCCCCTCCTTCATCTTCAGCACAAAGGAGTACAAGGAGCAGCTGGCCACCTGCCTGGATGCATGCGACATCGACCAGCTGTCGCCCACGGAGCAGTGGGAGTGCGTCAAGCGGCAGATGATCCTGGCCGCGGAGGGTGCGCGGAACGCCGTGATGCGGACCCCCATTGGCGACAACTCTAGCAACGACATCGAGGCCGGGTGCATGGCTATGCGAGCGATCGCTCGAGCTGCATGGCGTCAGGACCGCCGGCTGGCGACGCGGCTGCTGGAGCACACTGCTGCTGGCCCCGTCTACCTTCGGGTGGGGGGCCCCTCTGTGGTCCTGCGGGGCGCGGCGCGCTTCGAGGCGGAGGTGCTCGCGCTCAACGAGGCTCGTAGTGACCAACTTTTAGAACAAAACAGAAGTAGTGATGAGGCACGACGAACCAATCCGCGGGCCTTCCTCGGACGGGCCAAGCAGGCCCTCTTTCGCCGTGCCCTGCTGTGGAAGCCCCAGGGTCGAAGGCTCGTGCTCCAAGGGATCCAACATTCCCAGGAAGGCCATGGCGATGTCGTTCTCCGAGGGGGCCAACACATTTCAGATGCCATCAGGCACCATTGGGAGCCAGTGCTTCAAGAGCGGATTGAGGACACACCCCAGCAGGATGCCTTTATAGACCCCCCCCCCCCCCCCCCCCCCCTGACGTGCTGGACCTTCCCCTCCCCGCTCCCTCTGACCTCCACTGGGCCCTGTCGAAGGGGAAGTCCTCGTCCCCTGGCCCCGATAGGCTCCCATATAAGGCGTGGCGTGCTCACCCGAGGCTCGCCATCGTTCTTCACTCCCTCCTTCTCTCGTTTTTTTCATTGCTCCCCCCCTCCTGCCACGCTCAATCATAGTCTGTTCGCCTTCATTCCCAAAGGCGAAGAAGGGCTTGACCCAGTGGACTGCACCCGCCAGCCTGGACAGTTGCGCCCCTTGAGTCTCAAGAACTGTGATGCCAAAGCAATGGCAACATGTATCAAGTGCAGACTCAAGCATGTAGCAGAAGCTCATACTCACACAGTGCAGCAAGGATTTGTAAACGGCAGGAATTTTGCCAGGCATATTGTTAGGCTTGACTCTCTGTGCCGTATTGCCAGCATAGGCGATGGCGCCCCGCCCCGTCAGCCAGTATTTGTCAGCTTCGATATTTAAACAGCTTTCTCTAGCATGAGCCAGATTTGGCTGGGCAAGGTCTTGAGACGTTTCCGAGTTCCCCCCTATGTATCGGCGGGCCATCCGAGCCCTCATGCACGCCTCGGTAGGATTCATGCGAGTAGTATCTGAGATTCGAGAACTATTCACCCTGCGGTCTGGGGCCCCGCAAGGCTGCCCTCTCTCGGGGACCCTCTGGGCCTTAGGGATGGACCCCATAGTGCGCTCTCTAGTTTCTGGTCTCGAGGTTGCGGGAGGTAAAAGCGAAGACCTTGGAGCTTGTGCGGACGACGTCGGGGCAGCACTTCGATCGGTCACTCTTCTCCCTTCGCTTCCCCCCTCGTTTGACGCTGCTGCTGCCCTTGCTGGTCTTCTCCTCCAACCGCAAAAGTGCTGCCTGGTCCCGCTCTGGAGTCTCGCCGACCATCCGACTCGACAGGCCCTAGTATCGTTCCTGCATAGAAGAATTCCAGCATGGGCTTCGTTTTCGATAGAGTCAGCCACTAAGTATCTAGGCATATTGATAGGGCCTGGCGCGTCTCTAGAAGGCGAATGGGAGGCTGCTGGTCAGAAATGGTGGTTCGTGCGAGGGAGACTGGGGGTGGCCGTGCTCCGACAGCAGCCTCCATCGTCCTCTACCACACACGCTGCTTGCCTGTCCTCAGTTATTTGGCACAGTTTTTTTGCCATATCTAAGCATGTACTAATAAAGGAGGCATGGGCGTTGCACAATGCTTAGAATACCACCAAGCTCTTTCAAGCGCAGTGAGTTGTTCAGCATAGGAAATTGGCTCCGGCCAGGGGCACCGCATTCTGTCTTGCTCACAACGACTGCTGCGGGATGGAGGATGGCGACGTCGACGCTGGCGGGAGAGTGGGAGGGGATCCTGGAGTGCCACGCAGAAGCTGCTGTAGAGGGGCTCCCACTGGTCTCAGCCATCCGAGGCAAGTGGTCTGCCCCGTGCTGGAGAATCCAGCACAGCATTGCCCAGCAATTCGCAGGATGGAGCGGGCGAGGGCCGCGCCATGCGACTGCGAGCCTCCCAGCACATTGCATACCGCGATCGACGATCGCGGCGGCGGAGGCCGAAATTCGGAGAGAACAGGCTGTACGCCGTCGCCGCCGTCGCATCGCCCTCCAATCGAAGTTCATTGCCATCCTTACCTCTCGCCTCTTCCCTGACGACCTCCACCTCCTTCTCCACCGTCGCCTTTCGTCTGCCCTCTACCCCGTTGCTCCCCCCATCGACCGACGAGTTGAGGGTGCGTTGGCAGAAGCTGAAACACGTTCTAAGCTCGTCAACGCCCATGCTAGCCTGGGCGCATCTCAAAACTCTGGCGGGTGCATGGATCACCTCCCGAAGGGTCCACATATTGACCCCGCTGCCCTGCCCCTTTGGATGTGAGCACGCCCCCGACTCTCTCGCCCACTACCTTGCTTGCCCACGCTTGCTTCACCTCCTCGCTCTCCCTGGCCGCATCTTTCTCCCCTCTGATCCCATTGTCCGTCTTGGGCTCGGATCGGAAGCAGAGTACAGAGCTGCAGAGATCTCGAGACAACGTGCTCATGAGCTTACTGCGCTGAGTTTCCATATCTTTCATAAATTCAGAGCCGAGCTTGCATGCCATCCGCACCTGTTCGGCACATATAGCATTACCACACAGGCGAGGCACTCAGCAATGCTTGCCTGCCAGACCAACCAGGAACGTGCTGGGGCCGTGCCCTCGACCCCTTCCCGCACGCGTCCCTCCATATCTCGGCCGATAAGGCCACAGTCAAATAATTGAATGTAGAGTGGTTGCACGACTTGTCCCCCAAGCTACGTGGACTCCTCCTTCTCCTTCTCCTCCTCCCCCTCCCCCTCCCCCTCCCCCTCCCTCTCCTCCTCCTCCTCCTCCTTCTCCTCCTCCCTCCCTCCCTCCCTTCCTCCCTCCCTCCGTTCCTCCCTCCCTCCCTCCCCCCCTCCCTCCCTCCCTCCCTCCATTCCTCCTCTTCCTCGCGCCTTTTTCTCCTCCTCCTGTTTCTCCTCCTCCCCCTCCTCCTCCTCCTCCTCCTCCTCCTCCTCCTCCTACTCCTCCTCCCTGTCTGCCCCCTGTCCCCCGCCCCCCCACCCTTGCGAGCCAAGGTCCTCCCGCCGCCCGGCATTCTGGGCCACTGCGCCGTGCCGCTGCACGAGGTGGGGCCCGCGGCGTCTGGCCCACGACCCTCCTCCTCCACCTCCTCCTCCTCCTCCTCCTCTTCGTCCTCCTCCTTCTCCTCCCTTCTCCTCCCCATCGGTCTTCCTCCTCCTCCTCCTGCTCCTCTTCCTTCTTTTCCTTCTCGTCCTCGTCCTACTTCTCCTTCTTGTCCTCCACCTTCTCCACAGGTGAGGGGCGTGCTGTCTTGAACATGCGGATCTCGCTTGAGATTTCCTCGACGTGCGTTACCAGACGCGCAAGCCAGTGTAACAGGCACACGGAAGAAGGGTGGTCTTATTTTTCAAAAGAGGGCCCTCGTTGGACACCCCTTTTGAATTGCATGGGCATGCCTGGCTACGCGCTAGAAGGATGCAACAAGCTGCTCCATTTCCAAAGGGACCCTCGCTGGAGTGGCAGGCCAATGTGGTGCTGGTCTTTCAAGGAGGTGCTTATTGTAGTGACTCGGAAGGCTTGTACAGTCGGGGCGCTGAAGAAGGAGCCCTTTTCGTTGGGGAGGGGCTCCGCGTTCCTTGATTGTTTCGCAGCTTGCCTCTGGCTTTCCTTAGGTTTTCGATAGGACATCGAAGTTTAACTTATGGAAAAAAGGGGCCTCGTTCCTTATTTTGGGTTCCTTAGGTCAAGGCCCCGACTGTATGGACTCATGGGGAGGGGACCTGGAACGGGAGGGTGTATTGCAGCTTCGCTGATGCGTCGTTGATTTGCTCTGGTCCACCTCCCCCTTCCCAGGCCCCTGACGTTGTGATTTTTCCACAACGTCGACCTCCAGAGGTCTGGACCCCTTCCCCGTGACCGGCTTTTCATCCCGACCCGTTCTTTGACGGCCCCGAGGCCCGGGGAGGAGGGCCTCCAGAGGCCGAACCCTAGCGAACCACCTCCCGTGGTGGTTTTTCCGGACCCGATGGGGGCCTGGGCTCCTGCCTTCCCCTGCCTCCCCTTGGGGCCCCGTGCCCCCCCCCCCCCCACCGAAGGCGGAGCCGACCTACGTCCAGCCCTCCTCCTTGTCGGGCGGCTCCTGGCCAGGGAGCGGGGAGCCGCAGCCGGCGTACATCACGCCCACGCTGCTCGAGAGCATCGCGGGGAGCAGCAAAGAAGGGGCCAGCCACGCGCAGAAGGGGGGGCAGGGGGAGGGGGGAGGGCTTCTTAGCAACACGTTTGCTTCTTAGAAGGCGTGGGCCTTGTCTACAGATGTAAGGCTGGCGCCTTGTGAGAAGCAGCCTCCTTCTAAGAAGCGTCCCCCCTTCCCCCTACCCCCTCTGTGCGCGCCGCCAACGGGTGGGCTGTCCGCCCCCGCCCCGAGGAGGGTGAGGAGGGGGGGCGGGGGCGGGGATGGGGGGAGGATGATGGGGGAGGTGAGGAAGGATCGGGAACGGGGGAGGTCAGAGAGGAGGAGGAGGAGGAGGAGGAGGAGGAGGAGGAGGAGGAGGAGGAGGAGGAGGAGGAGGAGGAGGAGGAGGAGGAGGAGGAGGACGAGGAGGAGGAGGAGGAGGTAGGAGGAGGAGGAGGAGGAGGAGGAGGAGGACAATGAGGAGGAGGAGGAGGGAGAAGGAGGAGGAGGAGGAGGACGAGGAGTAGGAGGAGGAGGAGGAGGAAAAGGAAAAGGAAAAGGAAAAGGAGGAGGAGGAGGACGAGGAGGAGGACCTTAGGGCCTTAGGGGTCTTACACCAAGGTGTATCGCGTCCAGCGAAGCTTAATGATCAGTTAAGCATGTCAGAACCAGCACTCCTCTCGAGTTTGGCTTCGCGCTCGCGCTCAGCATGACAAAGCTTGACCGCTTCCCGCGGATCGTCAAACCCGTGCAGCTGCGCGACTCGGTACATATCCAGGGCCTCGGGGATCTCCAACCCATACACGGTACGGATCGCTGGGTCAGCACTCTCCGAGGACTCGGAAGCTACCAGCCTACCCGCCCAACAAGCTCGGACCTCAACCGACGGCTCACACAGGTCGCCGAGCTTGGGAGGAGGGGTGCTGGTGGAGTTGGGGTGCAAGCTATGTCTGAGCCTGCTGCGCTGAGTGGCGAGCCCAGGATGCCTTGGCCCGAAGCGCTGACCAGCCAGCCCTTTCCCTGGCCCGTGGCAGCTCTGGACACTCGCCCCGCACGAGATACAGAACAACACTGGAGGCGCACCATGATCCCCAGGGACAGGATCCTGCACCACATGATGCCTGTTGAACCGCTGAGTCTTGCCTCCCTTCCACCTGAGCCCCGAGAGAAGTGGGGCGCCGGGCCAGGGGGAGAAGCCGAGGAGCCAACGGAGGAGCCAGGAGCAGCATAACCAGAGCCGAGCCGAGCCCTACCCAGAGCCGCTTTCTCCTCCCCCGCAGGATACAGAACGGCAGGCATGTCCTCTAGGAGGCCTTTTCTCTCACGCTGGGCCAGGCGCTGGTCCAGTTCGTTCACTAGATCCGCCTCCTCCGCGTTGGTCGGACAAACATCAAACCGAAGTACCACCTCGGCCGTCCCTCCGACGCCTATCGTGTCACTGAAATCCGAATCGTGGAGCCAGCGATGGAGCCTGCCTTGCCACTCGGCCGCATGCACACGCGCCGCTCACATGCCTCGACAAACAGTTCCTGCTCAACCTGCACGGACCAGAGCTGGGCTCCTTTCCTGGCCCACTCGTCCGCTAGACGATTCCCTCTGAGCTGCCACCCGTCATCCTAGGAGGTGGCTTCCTGCAACGACCTATGGGCTTTGACCTTGCACGCCGTAGCAGACTGGCCGACTTTGGACCACCACAGCTGCCACATGTGGCGTCTCTCGTTGCTGGGGTCGAGGGCAATGGCTGAGGAGGTGGCGCAGGAGATCGAGCTGGCACAATCACTGTACACAGTGAGCGGAACACCGACATCTCCCTCCTGAGGAGGCTTTTTTAAACCGAGCACACAAGTGGAAGCATAGGCTTCCCCGTCCCGAGCCCGCGGGTCATGCCCCCACCCCCGAGGCACCACCCCGCACACACAGGCAACAAAGCGGCCAGCTTGGTCTATCTGCACCGCGGCCCAGCCTGCTCTCCTACACGAGCCGAATGTCGTGGGGAAGGCGGACCCATCCACGAAGAGGGGCCCTCCCCATCTCCAGCCTGGCATGGCCCCCCACGAAGCGCACCCAGTTCTCCTCTGGGGCTTCGGGTCTCTCGAAGCACTGCTCTGGAGAAGGGCACAGCCACCTCGAACACAATTCACCCTCTTCCTCACCTAGAGCCGCCACCTTCCAGGCAGCTCTCTTGAGGGAGGGCAGCGGATCCGTACGCCTGAAACTTTCTGAGCACGGGGAACCGAAACTCCGATGGAACATAGTGCCCCGACAGCCGCACAGTTGACACGCATCAGGCACCGATGTATTATGCTTCGCCAGCGTCGCCTGAGGCCAGTGCGTGCCCGAGACCGGGCTCCTAGCTAGATTGCGCTCGTGCCTAGTGAGCCCCACCTCCGCCTTCCCACGCCGGACCTTGCCTAGGGGGGCCCAGTTGAGCTCAGAAACCCAGCTACCACAGCGCTTCATCGCAAGAATGCCAGACGCGGTGGACGCCATCCTCTTAGCGACTGTCACCGCTCTGCCTGGCAGGCAAATCTGCATATCTACTTCTCATGCAGGGCCTGCGAACTTCGAGACATAGATCATCCGACCTCCAACTCTCGCAAGCGCAAGCAGCAGCGCCTGCGCGGGGTTGCAGCATCTTGCCCAAGGAGACTTCTTGCCCAGGAGGTCCCGAGAAAGCTCCAGGACGGCCTCCAGGACCCCAAGTGACGGCAAAGACGTCTCCAGGCAGAGAGCCCAGGCTTGAACTATTTCACCTGTGTGCACCAGGAGCGGGTCCCTCCATAGCCCTGGACACATACTCTTGAGCCCGATGCCCACGCTGGCTCCCGCTGGACGCCTACCCTCGGACCTGACAGCAGCGATCCTTAAACCGTTGAGTTTCAAATCTGCAGGGGGAGGATGAGCAGGAGGAGGAGGAGGAAGAGGAGGAGGAGGTTGAGGAGGAGGAGGATGAAGAGGAGGAGGAAGACCACTGTAAACCCAAGACGCATCAACGATGTTGGAATCAACCCTCCCTCCAATTTTCCTCTTCATGGCCCCCTGGAAGGGTTCATTTCCGCTGAGGCAAGTGCTCCACTCCAGAGTGAGACATCCGGTTGAAGAGCCTGGAGCATGCAACAACACCATTCTCGGGACCCCGGCGCCACGCACGAATCAACTTGGTTGTTGCGCCTTGACGATCCCAAATCTTGCAAGAGCACAATTCCTGGGACTTCACGCGAGTCGGTGGAACTGCTGCGCCTTCACAATCTTGAATCTTTTCGAGGCACCGTGTTCCTAGTGCGTTGTCAATGGGAATCCGTGATGCTCTTAGATATGCTTACGGCGAGTGTCCGCGGCGCGAAGGCGAGAGCCACACTTTGAAAAGGGACCGCCATCAATCCGTGAACGTCTGGCGATTTGTTGAGGCGAAGGTGCGCGGCGCTGAGGCGAGAGCCACATTTTGAAAACCGCTCGCCCTCAACCCGTGACGCTCTTGCAATTTGTTTGGCGAAGGTGCGTGGCGCTGGGGCGGGAGCCACACTTTGAGAGTGGCCCGCCACCAACCCGTGAAGCTCTTGGATTTTTTGACGAACGTGCGCGGCGCTCTGGCGAGAGCCACGATTTGAAAACCACTCGCCCTCAACCCGTGACGCTGTTGCAATTCGTTTGGCGAAGGTGCGTGGCGCTGGGGCGGGCGCCACACTTTCAAAAAATGGCCCGCCACCAACCCGTGAAGCTCTTGGTTTTTATTTTTACGAACGTGCGCGGCGCTCTGGCGAGAGCCACGATTTGAAAACCAGCCGCCCTCCGCGCGTGAAACTATTGCCAACTTCCATGCTATGTTCAGAGCTGGCACGGCAGTCTTAGGCGACACGCCCAGCCCGCCCCTCATACTGGCCTCGGGGGTAGCGAGCAGTTATCTACAAGGAGAAGGAATGGATGATGATGATGATGATGATGCTGCTGATGATGATGATGATGATGCTGATGATGATGCTGATGATGATGATTACGATGCTGCTGCTGATGAGGAGGATGAGGATGGGGACGAGGATGATGATGATGACCATGCTGCTGCTGCTGATGATGAGACTGCTGCTGCTGCTGCTGCTGATAATGAGGATGCTGACGACAACGACGACGACGATGATGATGATGCTGATGATGATGCTGCTGCTGATGATGATGATGATGGTGGTGGTGATGATGAGTATGATGTTGATGATGATGATGATGATGATGATGATGACGACGACGACGACGACGACGACGATGATGATGATGATGATGATGATGATGATGATGATGATGCTGCTGATGATGATGATGATGATGATGATGATGATGATGATGATGAGGATGATGCTGATGCTGATGCTGATGCTGATGCTGATGCTGATACTGATGATCATGCTGACGAGGAGGAGGATGAGAAGGAGGAGGAGGAGGAGGAGGAGACAGAGGAGGAGTGCGGAGTGCGGAGGCCGAGGGACTGTCCCGAAGCAGGCCTACGCACCCGCAGGAGAGCCCTCAGGAGGGCCCTGACCTGCATAGCTAGGAACTTTGTGCTTCCATATCCTAGCCAGGTTCCCACGACCCTGCTTGGTGGGGGGGAGACACGGCCTAGCGAGCCCAACCAGCATTTGGGTAGCTGTTGAGCCGCACACATGGCAGACATACAGACTGTGATCAGGCCAGAAATAAAGCACGTGTGAATAGTGGACCTCTTGGCTTCCAAGGATCGAAAACGAGGAGCACCTAACAATATCGCTCGGGACGCCAACCCCTCCCCCGACGCTGGGGGCAGGGAGGGGGTGCAAGAAGACTCGGCCGCCCCCTCGACGCGGGACCCAGGAACCAGGAGACGGCAAGCAGTGCACAACCAGCTACCACCCTGGACGGGTGTCCAGGAGTGCCGGGAGGCCGTCAAGGCGCGGGCGAGCCTTGACTGGGGGGCGGCTCGAATCTTCGGAGGCCTGTTGGCTTCCCATGCGTCCATGGCCAGCGAATCAGTTAGGGCCTTGCGCGCTCGGAGACGGACCTGTGCTGCGATGGCGTCCCTGTCGTCGGTCCAGGGGGTTGCGCCAGCCACCCCCCCGCTCCAGGGCCTCGAGGGCCGCCACCCCCGCCAGAGCGTCAGTACAGGCGTTACCATAGGCACGAAAGGCCACGGCGGGGGAAACTAAAAGGTGGGCCTGCTCATCCATGTGGGACGGGATCCACACCACAGAGACCTCGGAAGCTCCTGGGGGCCCTCTGGAGGTGAGAGTCCTCTTGATGCGAGCACACAGGTCCACATTGGCTTCCCAAGGGAGAGCCGTGCCTGCCAGACGGTCATCCTAGGCAGAGAGCTCGATTCTCTGCATAAGACGTGATCTGGTTTTCTCGTGGCCTCGACGGCGAGAGCGAAGGCGAGGAGCTCAGCACGCGGCACGGTCTGGCGCGCTGCCACTCCGCCCATGGTGCCTCCAGCGAGGCGCCACGAGCTCGCTCCACCGTCGTAGGAGATGGCGCAGCAGGCGGCCCCGACCCTGCGTCGGCGCGGGGCCTCCGTGTGCGGGCCGCCGCTGCCGTCACCGAAGAGGTGCGGGGCGCCGTCCTCTCCGCGAGCCTGCTGGACGACGTCGCCGGCATGGAGTGTCCACTCGGCGCAGTCCTCGTCGTGCGCGGGCGTGGTGAGAGCCGGCGCAGGAAGCCCGCGGAGCCACACCGCAGGCTGGCTCTCGTGCTGCGCACGTGCCTGCTCCTTGGGGTGCGCCGTGGAGTCGTGCTCTGGGCATCCGCAGTTGGCAGCGCACGCCCAAACTCTGTGGTACAATGTCTCATCCTCTTGGCCACATCGGGGGCACAGCACTGAGTCGAGCTCGTAGCCCGCGTCGCGCTGCCGAACCCTCGGCCACTGGCCCCCCGATGTGACCACCACGTTCTGGCCGTAGAGGTCCATCTGGCCCTTGGCAAGGTACCTCTTCTGCTCCCTAGCTACGCCAGTGGCGTCGGCGCCCAGGTGGAGGTCCTCACCGTGAGGGTGCCTGCTCGCAGCGGCCCACATGATCCTCTTGAGGTCCTCCACGAACTCGAGCTGGATCGCAGACGTGTCCATGTCGAGGTCCTCGTGGGCTGGGAGCCGCCACTCGGTGCCAGAAGCCGTAGTCCAAGATCGGGCTGCAGTGGGAGTCCAACCCGCATCCATCAGCATGGCGATGAGCGCCGCCAGCGGGCCACAGGCCGCACGCCACCTGCCCTTGGCACCCGCTCTCTGGAGCTTGGCCAGGATCCTGGGCCAGGCACGCTCGATGCGGAGGTGGCGGTCTGGCGCCCTCCTCCACAGGTCGAGCCACCCTCCAAGCAGTTGGTCCCCGAGCTCGAGGCCTGGCTCCTTGTCCCCGTGGAGCTTGGCCAGGAGGCTGGTGAGGCACCTGCCTGGGCCCTCGCCCGCCGCAGCTGCCGCCGCGCAGCGACGGAGCCGCGGGACGGCCGACGGGGCGAGGCCGAGGGCCTGGTGCCTATGCGCCGCCCTCGGCCGCGCGGCGGTGGCCCACAGCGCCTTGGCGACACGGCTGAGGCGGACGTGGCGCCGCATCCGGAAGATCCGTCGGAACTGGGTCTGGGCGGCCCGCTTCCTGGCCCTGGCCCCGCGCTGAGGCCTGGCGCGCCCCGCTGCCGTGTCGACGCCAAGGTCGACTGCTCTGGAGGCGGCCCTGCAGTGGACCCCCTTGCGCTGCAAGGCGCGCTGGAGGTCGTTGGCCACCTGCGGGTGGCTGGCGATGACGACCGTCTTGTCCGAGACCACCAGGTGCTGCTCTTTCAAGCCTTCCTTGAGGGTGACGGCCACGCCGAGGATGGCGGAGCGCACGTGCTCCAGCTTGCCCTCCGCCCTGGCGGCAGTGTCGTCGACGAAGGTCCATAGCTGCGCGTACTCCCACTTTCTGTGGGCCCCCTGCAGGATGGGGGTCAAGAACAGCTTGGCGCACTTGTTGCCGTGCCAGCTGCCAGCCACCACAGGGCGCTGCGGTTGCAAGAGGGGCCCGAGCCACTTCTGCTGTCGGAGGTGCCTCGGCGCCATGAAGAGTTGCGTCTCCAGCGCGAGCACCACTGCAGGAAATCGTAGCTGTAGTCCTACGCGTGGCAGTCGAGAGAACCCAATGCTGTCGTATAACTTCTTGATGTCGAGGAGGAGCGTAGCCGTGTGGAAGCCCATGGCGTGCGCGGTCTCGTCCATGAGCGAGCGGAAGATGTCTGCGCGCAGGGCAGTGCTGCCCCTGATGGCGGTGTCCAACCACTGCGCCTGGGACTCCTCCCAGCTGTCCGTGATCGTGGCTCTCGCCTTGGACTAGAGCTTGGCCGTGGTGGCCAGCATTCCCAGATCACCTCCAGCAGGCTTCGGCACAGCAGCCCCGATGGTGGTGGCTACCTGCCACGGCCAGATGGCCTGCTCCTCCACCAGGTTGAGCAGGTCGACGAGCTCCTGCCTGGCCGAGGGTGGGGGTTCGCGGACGTGTCGGTAGGCGACTACGGCTTTCGCCTTCCACGCCTCCCTGGCCCATTTGAGGAAACCTCTCCTGGACCTGGAGTGGGACCTGCCAAGCGCGCGGCTGGCCAACGACTCAGCGACCTCGATGAAGGGGTCCAGGACGGCGACGAGCTCGTAGGACGGCGACGAGCTCGTGGGGGCTTCAGGTGACGAACTCTACGCCTATGTGGGCGATGAGGGTCCGCCTGGCGTTCCTCCACTCCGTGAGCTCGCCAGTGGTGGAGTTGCCGAAATACGTGTCCCTGTGCCGCTCGTCGTCGACGGTGTCGCAGCGGTGCTCGAGGTCGCCCAGGACGAGGTCGAGCTGGTCAGGGTCTGAGTCGTTGGCAACCAGGGCGCGCGCTCGGACAGCCAGGGTGGCGATGGTATTCCGCACCTCCACTCCGACGTCAGCGTCTGCGCTCTGACTGGCGTGGTGGTGCCAGTATCTCGTCGGACGTCGTGTCCACTCGCTCTCCCCCTGCAAGCGTTGGCCTGGTCAGGCGGGAGCTTCTCCGTGACGATGCGGGCATCCTCCAGGTGGGTGGTCCATTGGGCGTGGGGAGACAGAGGAGGAGGAGGGAGGAGGAGGAGGAGGAGGAGGAGGTGGAGAGGAGGAGGAGGAGGGGGAGAGGCGGATGAGGAGGAGGAGGAGGAGGGTGGAGGAGGAGGAGGAGGAGGAGGAGGAGGCGGAGGAAGCGGAGGATCGGAGGAAGCGGAGGAAGGGAGGAAGCGAGGAGCGGGGGAGGAGGAGGATGAGGAGGAGGAGGAGGAGTGAGGAGGAGGAGGAGGAGGAGGAGGAGGAGTCGGAGGAGGAGGAGAGGAAGGAGGAGGAGGAGGAGGAGGAGGGAGGAGGAGGAGGAGGAGACAGAGGAGGAGGAGGGAGGAGGAGGGTGTCAGCGGTCGGGCGCGCCTCGTTTTGGGGCTCCCCGGCGTCAAGCCCCTCGACGCGAAGTGGGCGAGCGACGAGTGGCCGCTGCGGAGCGGGCGGAGCGGGTTCTACGGGCTCGACCCGGAGTGGGCGAGCGGGCCTTTCGGGCTGGAGGTCGACCTGACGCCATGGGACTCCGCCGAGCCCGGGTGCCCACTGCGCCCCCACCCTCGTCCCTTCTCTCCTCCTTCTCCTGTCTCCTTCTATCCTGTCCTTCCCTCCTCTGCTTCCTCTCTTCCTCCTCCTCCTCCTCCTTTTCTCTGCCTGCATTCTCTCCGTGGTCGTTGTCGTCCAGTTGTCTTCGCCGTGAGACGAGAAACAAACCTGTCAGACCTGCTGCTTTTTCGGATGGCATGCGTTCCACCTCTCCCTCCCGTGGCTCTCCCGCGAGTGCCGATCCCTCCCGTCATGTCTTCTCTATTGATGCAAATACGTCTGCGCCCGACGTGGTGCTGCATGGAATGGCCGTGCCCAACGACGACAGGCCAGGCGCCCCCTTCCCCCCCCTGCCCGAAGCAGCTGCTGGCGAGGGACCGAGGTAGGGTAGCTGGGATGACCTTCTCGTGCGCTCGTCTCCTCCTCCTTCCTCGTCTTCCTCGTCTTCCTCGTCTTCCTCGTCTTCCTCGTCTTCCTCATCCTCCACCTCCTCCTCCTCCTCCTCCTCCTCCTCCTCCTCCTCTATCTATCTTCCCTTTCTACATCACTCCTATTCGTTACGTGACCGAGCGCGTCGGCAGGGCGGTCCTGGCGTGATGCCCAGGACTTCTGCGCACACTCTGACTCTGACCCTGAAGCTCGAACACTCGAACCCGACAGCTGATACGCGGACGTACGGCGGTTTGGCCGTTCAAAATGAAGCTGTCGCTCCGCCCCACTCCTGTGTCGCCCCCCCCGTCTTCCCTCCTGCCCCGAGGTCGTGCCTCGCATGCCACGGTTCGTGCAGGCGTGGCGCGCGCGCCATCCTGCGGCGGCTGCTGGCCGACCTCGGTCTGCCTCGTTAGGGGGCCAAATGCGAACCCTACCCCTACCCCCCACGATTTCTGAGGAGGAGGGTGGGGTTCACTTCGTTCGGGAGCTCCCGAATGAAACGAACCCCACCCTCCCCCTCAGAAATCGTGCGGGGTAGGGGTAGGGTTCGCATTTGGCCCCCTACTCGTCCGCCTGGCTCGTTCTCCAGCCGCTGCGGACCCGCTCCGCGCCCGGCCTGGCTCTGCGGTGCCCATTCCACGCTCATGCCGTTGAAGAAGAAAACTCTGCATCAAGAGTTGGGGGGCCACTTCGAATACACCCCCCCGCACCCCGCTGGCCTTAATATGAGCAGTTGGCCCTGGAGATGAGCGGCTGGAGAAATTCTGAACCCAAGATCTCGATCGCAACGCATTCCAGAATTAAGGCCAGTGGGTGGAGAGGGCGAATTCGGTTCTTTGTCGTCGGAGCGCTTTTGATGCACAGTTTTTCCCTTCAACCGTATGGTCAGTTGGCGAGTGCGTGCGCCCAGCGTTTGCGTTCGAACACACATTTGCAAAGCACAGACTTTCGACGGTCCGCGCGGATGTATTGGATCTGGGCTGGATTTCCTGGCGGCACCTCCAGCGCCGCCCCTGGCGCGCGCAGATCCAGGAAATCCGCGCGGACCGTCGAAGTTTTGGCATATCCTTTGTCGTCTGCGGCAGTGCCTTGATTGCGGGGTGCAGGTTCTATACATGACTGACGCGGTGTAATGTCTAGTTGTAGTTGTGGTCAGTCGGACCATGGGGAACGCTCGCGCCTCGCATCCAGGTCTGGTTCATTTTTCCCGTCGCTCAATCCACGAGACTGGTTGATCCGATGCTTGGCATTTTCATATTGACCAACCTTTTTATTTCCATTCTCCTCCTCCTGCTTCATGCTCTTCCCCTTCATCCCTCCTGTGTTTGACGATGGCTGGACGTCTCGTGCAGTTGCCGTCCATATTTGTGATGGAGGAGGAGGAGGAGGAAGAGGAGGAGGGATGAGGAGTCGGAGGAGGAGGAGGAGGGATGAGGAAGAGGAGGAGGAGGAGGAGGAGGAGGAGGAGGAGGAGGAGGGAGGAGGAGGAGGAGGAGGAGGAGGGGAGGAGGAGGAGGAGGAGGAGGAGAGGAGAGGAGGAGGAAGAGGAGGAGAGGAGGAGGAGGAGGGGAGGAGGAGGAGGAGGAAGAAGAGGAGGAGCAGGAGGAGGAGCAAGAAGGAGGAGGAGGAGGAGGAGGAGGAGGAAGGAGGAGGAGGAGGAGGAGGAGGCGAGGAGGAGGAGGGAGGAGGAGGAGGAGGAGGAGGAGGAGGAGGAGGAGGAGGAGGAGGAGGAGGAGGAGGAGGAGGAGGAGGAGGAGGAACAGGAGGAGAGAGGAGATGGAGGAGGAGGAGGAGGAGGAGGAGGAGGAGGAGGAGGAGGAGGAGGGAGGAGGAGGAGGAGGAGGAGGGGAGGAGGAGGAGGAGGAGGAGGAGGAGGAGGAGGAGGAGGAGGAGGAGGAGGAGGAGGAGGAGGAGGAGGAGGAGGAGGAGGAGGAGGGAGGAGGAGGAGGGGAGGAGGAGGAGGAGGAGGAGGAGTAGTCGGAGGAGGAACAGGAGGAGGAGAAGGAGGAGGAAGAGGAGGAGGAGGAGGGGAGGAGGAGGAGGAGGAGGAGGAACAGGAGGAGGAGAAGGAGGAGGAGGTCGGAGGAGGAACAGGAGGAGGAGAAGGAGGAGGAAGAGGAGGAGAGGAGGAGGAGGAGGAGGAGGAGGAGGAGGAGGAGGAGGAGGAGGAGGAGGAGGAGGAGCGAGGAGTAGCGAGGAGTAGCGAAGAGGAGCGAGGAGGAGCGAGGAGCGAGGAGCGAGGAGGAGGAGGCGGAGGAGGAGGAAGATGATGAGGAGGAGGGCCAGTGTAAACCCAAGGCGCGTCAACGATGTTGCAACATGCCCTCCCTCCGAGTTCCTTCTTGATACGTCCTTGCAATAGTTATTTTCGTTGCGGGAAGTGGCCCATTCGAGGACAACCGTCTCTGGCTCAAGGACGTAAAACCGCGCCCCTGGTCATGCCCAGGGGTTTCGGGCTCAAGCTCGTAGCCGCTACCCCGACAACTCGCTTCTACCACTTTCTACCTTCCTTCTCTTCTCTGCATTGGCGCCTGATGACCACCAGGGACATGTACGACCACACCGCTCTGCCGCAGGGGACCGAGCATTAGCTCCGCGGAGGCCGCGATGGCTACGACGCCGCTGCCGCCGGGCCTCCCTAGCCCGGGAGCGGACCACACCGGCATGACCCGAGAGGCAGGACAGCTCGTGCTGAACTCTGAACCCCAGGCCATGGACATTTACCAGGGAGACGCCCCCGTGAGCATGGGGATCGACGCTTTGGACCCGGCGGTGCTGGCCGCCCGCACCAAGATGCTGCAGGAGTGGCACGAAGAGGAGATCCTCCAACACCTCCCCCTCGTCGCCCCCGAGCAGTACGGCAAGTTCAGCAGCCTGCCGATAGAGCTGCCCACGAACATCGACATGCTCAACAGGCTCATGGGGACGCTCGGATACGATTTCGCCTAAGGGAACCCTTGGCTGCTCCTGGGCATCTCCCGTCTGCAGGGCCCTGACCCCGCCGTGGTCACCATCTCTGCGCGGGTTCGCGCTGCCAGGCTTCTGCTGGCCACCGCGAGGGATCTTGGATGGCCTCCGTGCCAGCTCCCTCAACTGGAGACCTCCGGGGCAAGCTGGACACGGTGGAGGACCAGTGCATGTCCGATCTCGGGGAGGTGCTCGCCTCTCGGCGCAAGAACAGGCGCAAGCGAGCGCCGGCCTACAAGGGGCTTGGACAGGAGGCGGCCGCAGTAGTCCTCCAGCAGATCCCGCAGACGGCTGGCCACTCAGTTGTCGGACGTCCTGCGGGCCCGCCATGCGCGCTTCGCGTCGACAGCGGACGCTCGCTCGGTGGCCGAGCTCCTGGAGCGGGGGGGCGAGAGGTGGACGGAGGCGGCGCAGGGGCGACAGCTCGTGGTGTGGACACCTACCCGGCGCGAAGAGCGTCTCGCGATGCATGGCGGCGCACCTCCGCCGCCTCGCCGCTGGCGTCAGCCCCGATCCCGTCATCTTCACCTGCCCTATTCCCACTATCATCGGAGAGCTCAGCGTCGTGGGCATCACCGACCTCTGGAGCACGCCCCTTCTCAGTGACAAATGGGCACCCATTGTCAAGGAAGTGGCGTTCATACCGTACCCCTTCGGGCTGCTCACCACCGCCCGCAACGGGACCCCCAAGCAGCTTCGGGAGGGGCTCGGACTTTTCTCCATTCGAAGGGGTGGAGTGGTCGCCCCAGCCAGGCTGATCCACATGGATGCGTTGCTCTCGGTAGAGGAGGACAGGGTGGTTACCTTCGACATGTGTCTTGACTTCCTCCTCACGCTTTTGAAGGACAGAATTTTCTCGGGAGCCATGCGCAGGAGCCTTCGAAGGGGCCCTTCGAGTTTGCCGGACTTCCCGAGGATCGCGGTGGATTTATCCCACCACAGCAGCGCACCGACTTGGAGGCCATGGCCACGCTCGAGCGGCTTCGGCGCCATCACCTCCCTCGGGACACGTATTACGCGTTCAAGTCCATCTCAGAGGCCAGGGGCTCGTTCCTCCTCGAGTTCGGCAGCGCTGAGGTGCTCGCACCCCTGTGGCCGCTGTGCTCGCAGATCCTGCTGCTGAGCTCCACGCGCGCTCTGGTCTACGCGGATGCCGCCCCCAGCGCCTGGATTCGGGACATGGGCGCCCTCTACCAGCGCGATTCCGCTGGGGCCGCATCCTGCCTCCGCTGCAGGCCCTCCTATCACGTCGGCAGGGCGATTGCTGCGCCCAGCGCCGCGGCAAGCCAGGCGGCAGCACAGCGGCGTCGAGGTGGCAAACCCACGGCGACTTCCGAGTACATCGCGGAGATCGCCCCCGCGGGCGACTCATCACGCACGCGGGGATCGCCATTGTCAAAGCGGCGAGTCCGGAACAGCCTCTTGCGGGGGAGTATGCTCACGTCTCAGGGGGCGGCCAACCCCCCCCCGGCGTTGCCCGCGTGTTCTGCAAGTCGGAGGGGGGCGTCGGCAAGCTGGGCGCTGCGACCCACGGGCGTTCCATTCGGGTGGGCCACGGGCACCTCGCACTGGCGGTCAAGAGCGACTACCTCGA